TGGTGCAAAAAATCTTCTGAGCATGTGGGCAGATAACCTCTGAGTTGATTGGAGGATCTTTGGAAGCCCATGTATTAATACAGGGTGGTGTATTACAGAAAAAGTGGTGTGGCAGAGTGCATGCTGGGAATGATGGAATAGTGTATTATGTCTGTGGTTTGACCTCTCGCACCAACAAGCTCTGACTGTTTCATTATTCACAGTTCTGCCGTACAATATTTTACCATAATCATTTTTTGTTTCATAGGGTGAAAGGCCTGTCATTGCACATGATCTAAAAATGTGATTTTTCCATTTACCACTTGATTAATCACGTTGCTTGATCATTTTATTTTTTCCTCCCCGACCTTTTTGGGAAAAATATGCAGACAGAAATGTCAGAATTTTCACAAAACCATGAACTTGAACGTAGGTAGGTGTAGGTGAGGGAGATGCAGATCTCTAATCTGTCATTAGGGATGGGGTATGGTAAAACACCTGCCTCTCTGAAAAAGAGACATTTAAGACCATAAATCTAACCCCCCCCCCCCCACCCCCCCCATGCGACGTCTTCATTAGGCCTCTCTCAGCACCAAAAGTCACACCTTGACTGGACATAATGGGCACGGTGAAACGGCGGGGGCTTTCAACCTGATGCAAATGCCATTGTGGTACCGCCAGAGGCCCTACAAGGACATTACCATGAGGGACGGGGACTTGGAGGCGGCCAAACAGAAACCAGGAGGTGTGCGGAGCTGTGAAGGCGGGCTTTGTTGATGCCTCTGGACTTTGGGCAGGTTCCACAGAGGCTGCATCTCTCCCAGAGTGCTTTAGAGCGCTCATGCCCGGGATAAGGCGGCTGGTGGGAGGGGTGGCCATGTCCTTTGCCAAAGACCATAAAATAATAATTCGGCACTTGGTTCCTTTTGTGTCAGCCAGCGGTCTTGGGCCGGATAACTCAATAAGCCAGCCCAGTGAATGTGGCACTGCGCCTCCTGGCTCAGGAGCCGATCCAATCATACCCCCTTACCCCTCTCCTCCAGGGCCCAATCCCCGCCAAACGGATCCATCGCCTGTCACTTAACCTGCAGATGTTTGACCGACAGTGGTATTGTTGCCACACTAACGCTGCCAATGCATCAAGCCGCCCCCCCCGCCCCTCGCCCCTGGCTCCTCCGCATATGCCCATCGGGGACCAGACCGTATCGCCTGGTGGCCCAGTGGCTCTGCAGACTGGGAGAAGATTCAATTTGCTGCGGCGTGATCTAATCTCGGGACCTGCGGGAGATTACAGCTTCAGCCATGGAATTGCTGCAGTTCTAGGGATACAAAAAAAGGCCTGAAATAAAGCTTGGAATAAATAAGCGGAGAAATCGATACACTGGACGCTAGGATGGAGGGGCGCTCCGGGGGACCCTGGTGATCCGCAGAGTGACGGTTAACCTTGGCCCGCGGTTCCATTCTCCCCCAGAGATTCTATCACCACCAACTTTTTCATGTACCATCTATCAATTTCTCACCCTAACCCTCAAAAAAAAACTGTAGTTCTGATAAAATCTGTCTTTTGTTGTTGTGGAAGGGGCTGGCAATGCAACTTTTACATCGCAATGGATTGTGGGGAATTTGCGTTACCAGGAACGTTAACCCAGTTTGGTGTTCCATCTTTGAACTGTTTAGCGAAGTCCCATTAAGGGAATATCTATCTCTAATCATCCAGGAAAAGAGGGATGGACTCACTTCCATCCAGGGTGCAGAGGCCCTGATTTCTGTTGGGGATGAAGGACACAGTCCTTCACACGCAGCCGACCCTTCCCGGTCACACACACTGCATACTGCAGAAACACACACATCAATCAGCATGACTGGTTTGAGCCAGCCTTCCCCAGCCAGTCATGCACTGGGATGGGACATTTCAGTTTTGTTACGCTTCGACTTGTTCCCTGTCACTGTAGGGAGGGTACTCATTGCTCATTAGCAAATCTGCAAATTGACGCCTTCCCCCAGACTGTGAGGGTGGGGTTTTCAGTGGCAGACTCCTGGTGATGGAGTTATACAGAAACATACGCTATCTACAGCTTTATTACAGGAAAAAAGATCAATACAGACAGCACTTTGTCGGAGAGCCTTAATTGTTTCTGTGGCTCTTGATCTGTTTGAACCCCCTTCCCCCCACTCAAAACAGAGGAGATTCACTGCACTGCAGGTCTCCTGTCCTTTTGATAATTGGTCCATATCCAACCCAGAACAAAAATGAAATGAAAGCCCAGACACACACGGGTCGGCGTATCACATGGTTAGGAGCAGGTCTGGAGGTCACTGCATGGTCAGCAGCTCAGGAGACGGCGGCTCCACATTCAGCACTGCGCTCTCACAGGGTTGCGAAGTCCATCCCTGACTCTGTGTGTGGAATTTTCCACACATTTGTGCGAGATTCCTGCAGTTACTCTACTTTCCTACCGCAGTCAAAGCCCTTCAGTAGACTGCCTGCACTGCATGACTGCCTGCGCATGTGTGCCCTGTGACAGCCTGGCGTCCTGTCCAGGGTGTCCCCTGACTTGTGCCCTGTGCTGCCTAGGACTGGCCCCACGCGTAGTTACCCTGTATTAGATGGCTGGATAGATTATCTTTTCCAGTACAGGGTAACGGTATCTTAATAATAACGCTGCTCAAAACCGGACTGCAGGAAACATTTTAAGCGCATCCGATGTGCAAATCTTCACATCTATATTAAGTCTGAAATTAGCTCTTAAATTAAACACGATGTGCCATTTTTATGGCCTGTTACTGTCATTCCTCTGCATGTATTTATCAATACAAAATGCATTTCCTCTGACTTATATCACAGCTCGCAGGACGTTGCTGCATAATATCATCTGACCTCCGCCGCTACAAACTAGCAGCGCTATAATTTTTCCACTCTTGCGCTCTTCTGCATGACAGTCGTGAAACATCACATTCGTCACCGTCGCCGCCGCAGAAATAACAAGCCCTGGCCAAAAATAATTCTTTTGAAAAAAGAAAGAAGATTAAAAGTGATCAGGGCAGAAATATTCACTGGTCTTGTCATGCAAAGGCTAGTTTGCGTCCTCCAGATTACAGTGTAACAAACATCCTGTTATTTGTCAAAGGAAAATCCCTCAGAAACCAAAAATACAACTTCTGGGCCACAAGGCGGAAAACGATGATGTTAGCAGGCGCGAAAATACAACTGCAATGAATGCGACCGAGTGAGTCAGCTACCCGAATTCAGGGAAAAACATCACATCGCAAAAACATCTGCATAATATCCCAAGCATTGTAGGGTGTATCCTAAACTGGTTGCCTGTGGCCCCGCGGCAGAATGCGAGCTTTGGTTGAGTTTACTGTCTGCCTGGCAGTGGGAGTGTTAGCGTGGGGATTTCAGGAGTCATGGGGAAGGTCGCAGGTTCAGAACTATATCAACCCTGTGAAATATCAATCCTTATAAATAAATCAGGAAAAAATTATGCTAAAAACCAACAAGCAACAGCATTCTGTCCATAACATACTGAAAATAGCTTGGTTACAAACAAAGCATCTATACCAGCGAGTCTTAGTCAGTCATTCACTGGTACAATCTACTATCTCTCTGTCTTTCTCATGTCGTTGGAGAATCTTCTGTTATAACCTAGGGTCTTTGGCCTGTGGTGTATTCACAACTACAAATGGAGGTCTTCGTCTTGGCAGTGGCTTTTTCAATTTTACAATGAAAGGTCTTTCTCACATCATCGTAGGATCCTCTGCTACAGTCTAAAGTCTAGAGTCTTTGTCCCAGCAGAGAAAAATTCATTGTCATGTTTCTCCAGAGGCAACATAGGGAAAAACAGTTATTAAGAATCTGAAAAGCGGATTACAGGAGTGCGCTCCCGTGAGGAGTCTTCCTTGCAGACACCGAGAACACAGGCTGACCCCAGTGGGGCAGCAGCTGCTCACCCGTCATCCCTAAGGAAATGCCGATGGGTGCCACACCGCCTGTGCTGTCATGTATAATGGGGTCTCAAAGAGCAGAGACACTGCTCTCCTTGGGGATGACACACATCATAATGAGTGCAGACAGGAACCCCTCACACAGAGGGGGAGGGGCTACAATGACTACAGGACTCTCAGCAACTCCAGCCGTTTTTTTTAACAAGCACCCCATGTTATTGTGAGGTACAGAACAGCTTCCTCATTCCCAAGGCCTTTAGTCAAACAGGGTACATTTTTTTGTGCTAGGTTTTGGTTGCCATACATGTGCCAAGCATAGTCCACCCATCCATTTTCTATAACTGCTTATCCAATTCAGAGCCTCCGGGGGTCTAGAGCATATCCTGGAAGCTAAGGGCACAAGATGGGGCATATTCATACACCATTCACTCACCCAGGTACACCTATAGGCAATTCACTCAGGAAACTCCATATGCAAACTCCAGCTACACACACACACACACACACACACAGACACACACACAGACACACAAGTTGGTCTTCCTATCTAAATGGGGACCGTCCATTCACTTCTATGGGAAAAACCCTAATCACAATCACGACACCCTTCACCCCTACCCATCCCTAACCTTAACCATAAGTAACCAACCCAAATACAAGACTTTTGGCATTTTTACTTTTTTGATTGCATTCACAGATTTTTTTATTTTTTAATTATAAAACTGAGGTTATCCAAATGAGGACCTCAAAAGATGTCCACTAAAGTAGGGAAATTTCAGGTTTTACTACACTTTGGGGACAATTTGGTCCTCAAATGTGACCTACACACACACAGTCATTTGTAAGACTTGAACCCTGGTCTCAGATTTGTGAGGCAACAGTGCTAACTACTGCACCACCATACCGTACTCAGGGCAGTTTAATTAAATGGGACACTGGACTGCTGGGATGGGGAGGCTGCAAAAAGGACCATCTGAGACGCATCATCCTCCCTGATGAAGTCCGCCTGTGTGGTGCTGCAGACAGACAGGGACACCGACACGCAGAGGGTAGTAGTAAAAAAAAAGGTGACTAACCTAACCCACCTGAGCTTGGCTCACACGGATCGATGTCCTCGTCGTCGTTTGGACACTCCGCTGATGCCACCAGCAGGTCGTCTGTCGTCTGAGGACAGAAAGAGAGAGATGAGTATTGGTGAGTTAGTTACTGTATCTCTAGGCCCATAACTGGTGTTCATATGCCATGGAAATGCACCAAATCACATGTCCTCTGCACCAGGCTCATGGCATTCAGAGTCCTTCGGGAACATGGCCGAAACCCTTGATGCCAACAACGGGAGGAAGGAAGCCTCCAATTCAACAGCCAATCGTAGTGTTGCACATGGGCGCCGCCCCGTTCAACCCAACAGGAACCAATGAAGAAAGCGGCAAGTGGAAAGTACACAGGTCTCTGATTGACAAGAAAATACCAACCGCAGAGGGCCGGGAAGCCTCATTTCACTCATCACTGCCTAAAGGTAATTAAGAGAAGAGACAAATCCATTAAGTGGGGAACAAAACACAATCTCCTGGGGGGAGTGAAGACATTTTCTACTGCTCAGAAGAATTTGTGTACCTGCATAAACATCGAGGGTTGTCATAAATACACCTGCATACCGCCTTTGAAGCTCACTGTCCTTTGGGGGACTCTAATCCCAAACAGCTTTGACTTAGATTTCTCTAAAAATACAGATCTGTAACGACTGCACACAAAGTCAGTTAGAGGGAAAAGAAGGTGCAAAAATAAGTCTATTGTCCCCCTGGAAGTGAGATTTTCCACTCTCTCTTTTGAGTCTCTGTTTGCACTTTGATCTCGATTCTATCGGCCCGTTCCCATTCGGGGCGGCTCACGCAGGAGGTCATCCACGCTCCTGCTCAAACTGTGATGCGAAGGCCCAACGGGGTGCCGGTTCTGGCAAGTTTGGCCCCTGCTTGAACCAACACGATACTTGTCCCATGGAATGCTTGGCTTGACAAAAAAAATAGGTTGGAGCATCACAGGCTAAAGCAAACAAGGTAAAAACTGCAGCAGTGGAACGTGAGAGGTGTTGAGTCCTCAGCTAAACACCAGGGGGCATCAGAGGATGGGCTGGGGGGAGAGTGAAAGTCTAGGTCCCTCAAAACCATCCAATTGCTATAAGCACCCAGTGCATGGTTCCTGGGCCACTTATGTGGGTGCATACAGAACTTCAAATAGATCAATAGAGCATTGCACTCAGTATTACTGCTTTATATTTGGAGCCCTGTACACATGCAGGCAAACCACAGAAGAGCATGTTGAGGCCAGATTGTCTGGGTTTTTGTCGTCTCCTGTGTTCATGTCCAACAACCAGAGGTGGGGGCACAAAACTCAACATGATTTTCTGCACATGTGGCTGATACAGCGCCGGGGAGCCAGATGGCAGTGTCAGCGTGTCCTGGAGCACCCCATCCATCACTGCGTCCGGTGTCGTCTGTTTGTTGTGCCGTGAGATCCCGGCACAGTGTCCTGACAGACCGGTGTGGGAATCAATACCACGAACCATCGCTGGCTTAATGACAGCGGAAGAGTGTATTTGCAATGGTCAGGAAGCAGGTCCAACATCACTAGCTGTACCTCAGAATTTGGGGTGTGAGTGTCTTACTCAATAGCTCCAGGTAGGATAAAGGGCACACAAGGGAGAGAAGAACACTGGTGGGGGCATGCATTGGAGGAACGACTGATGGAATAGAAAAACAGGAAATCCACTCTGATGTCGAGCGACGTTACATTTAACTTTACATCCTGCCTCATGCGTTTATGCATTCGATCAGAGATGACTCCCGTGTCCTCCTTGCTCCCAGACAAATGTCATGCCCTCTCCCGGCCCACGGATCAGAACGATGCGACGGGAGTGTGACATTCAGAGAGCCGCCTCTGGGTCCCCGCACCCCAGTGACAATCTAATCAGAAATGAATCGCATCCCTGACGCACCTGCTCACGGGCGACTCGAAGGGCAGAACAACGGAAGAATGAAATAAATAAAACATGACAGCAAGCGGTGGAGAGGGGCGCCTACAGGGGATCGGAACTGCGGGGCACCAGTCCTGACGCGGCCCTAGTTGGGTTAGAATTCAATCACCTTGCCTCTTCGGTACGTGCTCCTCTGGTTCCCCCCTTGGCTGTGACAGTATAATGGCAGTTTCTAAGGCGCATACCAAGCACGGCTCCCGCCATAAACCCACAGCCGCGGTGCTTTGCCCTGCAGCCCGTGGGAGCTCTATGGGCTCCACACCCCTGCCACTGAGAAAATCGTGGGGAGTGGTGCTGAAACATCCAAGCCACAATGACAGACACTTCTGTTTTTGACTGGAGAGGGACCCTGCCTCACCCACAGATGACTGTGGCTGGAAAAGACACCAGGGACATTCTCGACGGGAGTGGAACTTGAACAAGACCCCAGCCTGATCCTGTACCGCGGTGCTGAACCGCTGACGAGGGCTGGCCGCTAAACCGCAGAGATCAAAGCCTCCACTGCTGCATCAGGGGGAGGTGCTGAGAGACGTCCTGAGCTCCTCCATAGCAGATCCACACTCTGAGCTTCTGTTCACAGCATTTTTCCTTAAATGTGGCCCAAACGTAAAGCTGATCCCTTAACCGTAACTTCAAATGTGGCTTCGTAATCAGTCCGGCTATACTTCAAGACAGCAACAAAATACGGGTAATTACAAAAAAGATGCTTCAATGCTTCAGTTGCGAGGGTAAAAAAAAAAGATGTAGGGCTTTAATTAGATGGCGAGTGTTCTTAATTAAATCGTTAAAGGGAATTCATGTGGACAAAGCCTTCCTTACACGGTCCGGCACCCTGGCACCCAGCCCTGACAGGCAGCCCGTTCATCTGCTGAGATTGATAATCGGCCCCCTTTGCCTGGTGGATGGGCTGGTCCCTCGACCCGAGTCCTTTCATGGTCCAAGTGCGCCAGAGTCAGCAATCCAGCTTGATCTGGGGACTACTGATTTACAGCTCCTCCTTCAGTGGGGAGGGACGAGGGGTTCATAACTCACTGGCCTCGCCTGTGATCTCTGGAGAGCAGGGGCGAATGAGCAGTCAATAGCTAGCCTGTCAGTCATGTGCCTCTCCCCAAGATTAGCAGCGTACTGTAACATGCAGCCCGACTATGCTGTAACTCAGCCGCCGCTGGCTGCCGATGGGAAGCGATTACGGCCTTCTGCTCCCCCCTGGATGACGAGGCTGACAGCGGCTCTTCCCCATGACCTGGACACACTGCGGGTCCCCTGAACATTGCCAGCAAGGCTCTGCTCACTTCACTCAACAAATAAGTGAGGCAGTAGCAAGATCCTGGAACCGTCACTGGGCGCTCAGATGACTGTGTTCCCCTGCAGCTTCGTCCCCATTTTCTGTGGCTTCAGGGTGGCTCAGGTGAGGCTGAACTCTAGCACTGATAAGAAGCATGAGCCACCAGCCGTCATTCCTGGTGTGGCGACAGCGTTCCTGGAAACTTCATCCGTGAAGCCCCCCCCCCCCCAAACTCCTTTACTTCCCATTCCACGATAATATAAAAAAAAATAATCATAAAACAGACCATCAGTAGTTTGCACTGGGCCATCGGCCCCAGAAACACTGGCCACCAGATCCAGAAATCAAATCTAAAATATTTAAATGCTACTGGAGCTGAGGTAACTTCAAATGGAATTGTACACATATGATGAAAAGATATAAGAGCATGGTCTTCACCTGCTCCCTGGCCAGAGGAATTATTTGCTGGCATCCTGTCACCAGAAGCCCCTCCCCCTGCAAGCTAATGGCCACCCTTGCTGCCTGCTGTGAGGCCTTTTGCTAATCCTCTAAACAGCTTCCCTACCATTCACCACTTTCAGACCCTGCAGGGCTCCACGGTCATTCCTCGCGGCAGGAATGCCTGGCATTGATCCCCTCCTGGCTTGATCAGGACCACTGCCGACACATAAGCGTTTAACCTGTGCTAATCAGGCACAGAGCAGCCATCAGGAGCTCCATACCTGCTACCCCATCTGGGATCACAGGAGCTCCCGGGAGACCCGAACCTTCGAAATGTCCTCTGGCACTGACAGAAACCCAATACAGGGTGATGGTGAGCCTGAAGTCTATTCCAGGACACACAGTGCAGGGGACACCCTGGATGGGACACCTGCCCATCGCAGGGCACAGACACACACACACACACACTTACTAAAGGCAATTTAGAGATGCCATTTTAGTTAACTGCGTGATTTCAAACTGTGCCTAGAAACCCGAGTGTCACCTGATAAAAGTCCAGGTGAAAAAAAAAACTAAAATCAGTCTCTAATTCAACACCAGCAAGTAGGTCAATGCTGCTGAATAATTTAGGCTCAATGTTCAATAAGTTTCCACTAAATAATGCAGGCCTCTCCTGCTGATTGGTTGGACTGGGGACTGTGACCCCCCCCCCCCAGTATCGGTCTCCTTGGTAGCTGTACTCGGAGACCTCCATGGTGTTGTGGGCTCCCTTGTCCGAACATGGGACCTAGTCGCACCATGGAGCAGCTGGGGACGTGTTACCCAGCGAGGGCTCCTTGTTGCCACATTCCTCACGACCTCGGCCATATGATTCATGTGATTACAATGATAAAAATCCAACTAACTTGGGGTGCTGTCAAATGAAGCTTTGAATTAATCCAATTAATGGTGGATTGAAAGAAAAGGCATTGTGTGCAAACCTAATCTTGCTTGCGCACGTGTGTGTGTGCATGCGTGTGTGTGCAGTTGTGCACTAAAATAAACAACTACAAAAAATGTCAAGGGCGGGCTATCGCTGAGTATGTCTATTTTAATTGCTCCAGCTCTCGGTGGACGGCATCTCGTTTTATTTAAACGCGCGCGGCTGCCACAGAACCGCGGGCCATACGTCAGCCTGCGAGTAATGAGGGGAAGGGGCCGATCTGGTCCTGCCCGGCCCGCTCCTTCCCCAGGCGGCGCGCTTCCCGCCGCCATTCATCTTCCGCCACGCTGCTGTCATGGATCGTGCTGCTCCCTAACAAGAAGGCAGGACCCAGCCGCGAGGCTCGCCGTTCCGCGCCATTCCGGAACACCGGCTTAACGAGCTCCTAGCCACTACCCAGAATCCCGAGACGGGTCCGAGAGGGA